GCTTCCGTCGAAGCTTCAAAAGTTGAACATTGCTCAACTTTTGAAGCGAGCAACGCGAGCAAAGCGAAGCGACGCTCCCACAATGCAGTTCGGCGAAGCGTGACGTCACCCCATTCAAAGTGAATGGGCAGAAGCGTTGAAGCCTCAACGCACGCCGCCGTGTGTAGGGGCCGTAACGCAGCGTCCACACGGCGGCGTGTGTTGAAGCGTGCCGGCGGGCGTGTCTGAAGCTCGACCAACAACCAATCACATGAATCTCCCGCCCCGCACACAAAGCATGCGGTTTGATTGGCTAGAGCTTGTACTGGCATATGATTTGATTGGCTGACGCTTCCGTCGAAGCTTCAAAAGTTGAACATTGCTCAACTTTTGAAGCGAGCAACGTGAGCAAAGCGAGCAACGTGAGCAAAGCGAAGCGAGCAATGCGAGCAAAGCGAAGCGACGCTCCCACAATGCAGTTCGGCAAAGCGTGACGTCACCCCATTCAAAGTGAATGGGCAGAAGCGTTGAAGCTTCAACGCACGCCGCCGTGTGGACGGGCCGTAAGTGTCAAGGTCACTCTGTGGTTTCTTTAAGTTCCCAGAGGATTTTGCGGCAGCTTACATACGCCTCTCACCACATGTATATAACTCTAGTGTCTGCAGGACTGGTCTGCGTGGGATGTTAGTATTTCCCTCTAACCTCGTTATGCTTGATCCCCTCTTGCCACAACACATTTAGTGGAGGCACTTTCCTGATGTCATCTCACTCTTCTCAATATATAATGCAAACATTTGTTATTATTTAATTAGGCAAAGCCATTTTGAAACGTGCACATTTACTGTTACTGTTTTATGTGAAGAAATGAATCTGTGAGTATATTAACATAACTATGTCTGGAGTAAAGATTTTGGTATTGAACTGAGACCTAAGACTGGTCCACGTGTCACTTCACCGTAGCTTGAGGTTAGGCGTTCATGTTTTCAAATAAAGTCAAAATTATCAGCATTCTCATTCATTTCAATGTGAGAAAGATCCGAGAGCAAAGGGAAAATTCGAGGTACAATGTGCTGAAAATACACTGACTTCACTGAGTGGCAGGAAAGTACAGTGCACTGAGCAACACATATTGTGACACAAATGTTTCTATACGTCAAAAAAAAAAACGGGGGTAACTATTAATCTTTAACGTATAACATTTCTTAAGTAACCTTCCTAGCCGTGATGACAGTTACAGCCTACAAGGAAGTGACGTAGGAAAACGCGTAGTGACAGCACACATAGCATAACACCGACTGCTCTTTCATGGTGCTGTTTCTATGTCTTCTCCTCTCGCTGTGCGCTGCCCCTTCATCTGATGTGTCCAGTAGCCGCACTGCTGCAGGACAAAGAGGAAGCACTGGTGGACAGTATGATAATCACAATGATTAAGGAAAGCTGTCATAGCACCAAGCCGGCTTAGTACTCATCTTTGTCTCTGGTAAGCCAAGCATGGCCAAGAATGGAGGGGTGTTTCCAAGCCCTGAGCCAACATGAGGTGCGAGATTAGAGTAAGGGGGCTCCCCTCACTCATCCTTCCTAATACCCCAACCCTGCTCCCTAAAATCCTCACTTTAACACAGATGTCTGATGCTAGAGCACTTGGGAACAGTAAGAGGTTTAATCTGGCCCAAAAGCTTAATGGAAAATAGGCAAACAGGCGTTGCATTCTCTAAACTACTTAGTATCTATTGGGAATATGTGATCATGAAAAATAGTATATTATTTGTCACCTGACAAAGAATAACAATGGTTTATTAAGCGTTACATAACAAACTGTAGTTTGCTAGTTATTGTCATTTTAGTAATTAGTGCTTTATTATAATAGGTATACCCTCTATAGGTAACATTCTGCATGTACTTGTTTATAGTATATACATTATGAAACAAATACAAAAATGTTCACTTTCAAAAAGAAAAGAATAGGTATAAATGTGACACTAAAATGATTAACAGCACCAGTCACCTAACTAGGGCTATGGTGAAAATCTTCTAACACATAGAGGTCATTTTATATCTCTATAACGTTGTATATTGCGATAAAATATGTCTTCTAGTCATTCAATTAATTAAAAAAGTCTACATAAAATAACACTAGGTAAAGATAAAATGATAAACAGTGTAATTACAGGCCTAGTGTATTTCTATTTGTAGATCTGAAATGATATAGAAAGCATATACAATTTCTTTGTTTAGACAGTTTTTTAGGATATATATTTTCATATTGCTCAGACCTTTTCTGCCTTTAAACATTCTTATTTGTAACCATGTATGTAACTATTATTATATATGCTATTATAATGTTGTGCTATTGCACACAATAATGATCAACATTTGTTGTGTTGCTCAGCCTTGGAATAAAACCTTCTTCTGAGTTTTTTGGTTTACAGCCAGCTCCTTGTCAGAGAGCGCTGACACCTGCAATAAGCCTCGAGTGCATCTAATCCGTCATTAGTCTGGTTTCAGTCTGGTCCTTAACCCAGGCAGACCCTCCAGTTTATTCTTGCATCTCCTGATCACAGTGATCCTCAGTTTTAACATTCCTCTCCGCTGCATTTTGAGAAGGATCCCAGACACATTAGATTACTTGGTTTAATATGTCTCGGATAAATTATAAAGCATCGGGTGAAGACGGGGTGAGAGGAGTAGATTGAAGGGTGAAGCGGCTATCGGGCGGCTCGTGCCTGCAATCAGCATGAACAGTGAGTATCAGTCTGAAGAGTGTGTGTTTCTGCTGGGACTGGATGAGTGCAAACACTGCAACACAAGGCATCAGTCTCTTTCTCAACAAAGTTTGTAATTCTCTCATGTTATAACCCCCTTCTTCAGGCCTAAAACTGGAGAGGTAAACATACTATTGTAGAAACAATTTTTACAGCTGTAAAGTCTGATATTGGGTATAACAATATAGACCAAAATCACAATTTTGCCACAAGAGCTTTACAATCTGTTAAATCAACAACACCATCTATACTGTACGCTGTACCCTCGATTAAAGAAAAGAGAAAAAACTAAGAACAAAATAAACTCCAGTCTCAGAAAGTGATTTTGTTGTCAAATGAGTAACAACCTTCCAACTCTCCCCCTCTGAAGAACGCTGTGATGCTTCCTACTGATACACACTGAGTTTATTCCTTCAGGTTTTTTGGGAGGACCTTTTTTATGGCTCTGATATTGATACTAAGCGTACACAGTAGACACTGTAGTTATGAGTTAAAGGGTTTAGGGGCTCCCTAACCTTGTGCCCATTAGATCTATTCATGATCTGTAGATACTAAGTAATACAAAGAATCAACTCCCTCTGGTCGGGGTTAAACATTTTACTGGTTGGTTATTTTTTATTCTAAATCTAGTGTACAGAAACATCTCTTGTATTCCTTCATTTTGAGCAGTTTTTGTGAATCTGTTTACCTAGAAAGAAATGTGTGTGCGTGAACATAAGCCTTGTGCAAATACTGTTTTAATGCCCAGGATGAGCACCATGGCCAGTCAGAATTCCCAGGAGCACAGGGTGGAGCTTTGCTGGTCCGAGAGCACTGCGATCCCTGGATTGGATGAGTGGGATTATTGGGCTGAAGGATCATTTAATTTAGGGATCAACATGTGGACTGTTTGAGACCCATCTGGTGGTCCTGGTGGACATGTGACACACACCTGCCATTCACCACATGTACGGCTGTTAAGAGCAGGCATGTGAGTCATCCATAGAAGGCAAAAGGCCAAAACTCAGAACAGTTACAAAGAAAAAGATACATTTTATGCCAAAATATTGCAAGAGATATTGGTGCAATGTATTGATATTAAAAAAAAAACATGTACTTGGTCCACCGCTGTTGGTGAAACTGAGGCGGTAACTTCTTCCATGTCCAGTGCTGTTGTAGGGAAGCCCCTCTGGCTCAGGCCTGGGGGTCAGGACAGTTTAATAATACTCTGCAATGCCTGGAATGTCAGACTAAAGCCAGTTCAAAAAGACAAGGCCTAATCAAAGCCCACAACCAATAAACCAGTGGATTGCTTGTTTGTGTGAATGTGCATGTATTATCAACAAATTGCACGTCAAATTCTGATCAAATCGATCGGTTAATAGTGGTCTTAGATAAACTGGTCCAGTCTTGCAGGGCAGTATGATGAAAACCTACTCCGATACCCCCTCCGCACACTGACCGCCCGCCTCCTATCCCCCCGTCCAGCAGACCCCTGAGGTTTGGGGGCCGAATTAGATCACACGCTCGGTGGGGGCGGCTTTGTGGACTAAGAGAGTCACAGAGAGACAACAATGGCCCTAATGTGAGAGAGGCAAAGGCAGAGGGCAGCTCGCGGGCTGATAGAGGCTTATCGCCGTGGAGACCGGGCTGGGGGCTATGTTGCCGGCTTCACATAAAGATTAGAGCAGTTGTCCCCTGCCTGGACGAGGCTGTGTAGAAGAGCACAGGCTAAGCATTGACATGTTTCTAGAAAAAAGGGGTCAGCCATCCGATGTGATTATGAGGGCAGATATCATGAAGCCGGACTCAGGGTGAGGCAAAACATCTCAAACATCTGGGTTGGACAAAATGCTGCAAAAACAGTTCTCTTCATTAACTCTGATACATTATGTTTTTTGAGGGCTGCTGATGTCGGCCAAAATCGGTGGCGAATTGCATGGGTTAAGAGTCTTAGTTGATGCATAAACAAAAACCAGTACTTGTTTTGTATAGTGGTGTCAATCGATACAAAAATGTAATACTGCTAATCACAATAATTATCTAGGATTAATCACATCATGAATAATCAGTTTAAAGAGTAGTATTAACTTGAATTTAAACCAAAACATGTGTGGTGTTGTAAAACAAAAGTTTTTTTACTTTATAAACGTTTCTACTTTTTTGTTTGGTTGTGTGATTTGGGGATGGGTTGGGCTTTGTATGTATTTTTTATATTCGAAGACCCATTTACATTTTTCACTTGTGTGGACTAATTCAGCTCTGGTCTCGTTTTGTCAGGTCTGTTGAAGATGCACTGGTCCCCGGAGCCACGCCGCCCCCTTATCTCAGTGGCCTGAGCAGCACCTAGATGTCACCTCTACCACCTCACCGCCGTCTGCCCACAAACATGACCCCTACGGCGCGGCTGGTCGCCGTGGCTACGGCCCTGGAGGTTACCCCTGGGCCAGTGATGACATATCGGCCCTTACTGCTTCTTCTCTGCTCAAACGCTACGCTGAGAAGTACTCAGGCTTGGAGCTGGCCTACGATCGCCCTCCTTCAGGGGCCTACCCTGAGCCTGGGACTTTCCTGAAAACTGAATCTGAGCCATGGGGTCTAGGTCAGGGCATGGAGTGTTACCCTGGACTGGAGGCATTAACTGGCAAGGTGGGCATCCCACCACAGGAAGTGTGACAGTAGTGAGCAGTAACTTGGCCTCTGAGCCAGGCTTCGGTGGTGCTGGCTCCTGCGGGGCCCCGTCCTCTCAGGATTACCCTCCTGCCTACAACAGCACCTACCTGTCCTCAGGTTACTGCCCTCAGCCCGGCGCAGCACTTCCCCCTGCCCCTCTACACTCTCTGCAGGCCACACCCACTCTAGTGCCCAGCTACAGTGCCAGCACTCCTGTCTACAACTACCCCCCAGGGTGCTACCCCCAGCCCGGCCTGTCCTCTGGATACAGCCACCCCAGTGCCTCCTACCTGCCCCCTGGAATCAGTGCCCCTACTCCTCTGGCCCCGAGGCCAACCATGGTTGGGGGCGGTTACAGCTACCAAACTCACACAGCCTTGGAGGGAGCTCTCCGAGGGAGGGGTGCCGCTGAAACGCAAGGCCTTCGAGATGGCAGAGGAAAGACAGGAGGGAGCGGAAGAGGAGGGATCCCGCTACAGAAAGTATGGAAACGGTCATAGCAAAAGTCACGGCAAATGGGCATGGCAACGGGCACGGCAAACGGCTACGATTTGAGCGTCTCTGCCTCAGACCCACAGGCCTACAAACCAGGAAAGCCCATGATGTCCCCCTCCCTATGGCGGGGGCAGGGGACTACAGCCCCCCGTCAGGCCTGGCAGGAGAGAGTGCTTCAGCGGAGCACAGCTTTCCTCAGCAACAGAGAATGTCTATGAAGATCCCCGCATCGCACACACGATCTGAGGACCCCGCTGCAGGGCGCTGACAACAGAGAGGATCTCTGTTTGAAACCAACCAGGCTTCTTAATCTAAGGATCAACATTGGATCTGTCAATGAAAGGTTTAATTTCACTAGTGTACACAAGACTGCTATTTGTGCATCTTTAATATTTTCATTATTCCTGTTTTTTCCAAAGATTCGCAGAGGCATTTTGCCCTGTAAGGTTGAGGTAAGTCTTAGGGGTGAGGTTAAGGCATTCTCTACATAGATAGCTTTAAGACAGTCTAAAGGTGTGAGTGTCTGTTTCTCTCAGGATCCTATTTATTTCCTTTTCTGCTACTGCTGCAGCTTCACTGAAACGTTGCTGTTTTAGAAGTTGTTGTAATTATGTGTGGCCATTATGTATGTAAAAGGCCTTTGACTGCAATACTTTTAACCACACCACAAAAAATCATTACTGACCAAAAAGTAAGGAGAGCAATAACTGAGATGGTGAGATTGCATACTACTTCAGCACAATCACTGCTACTTTACACAGCTGACCCTGAGGCTCGGTGTGTCGCCCTGCCTCGAAAAATGAATGTTTCCCCGCTCATCCCTCGCTTTCTCTCCACCTTTACCCACTCTAAACTTTCTTTCAGTTTTCTTTTCTCGTTCTTTATCTTATTCTATCCAGGTGTCCTGCTTCTTTTTTGGCAAAAACTCTTTTTTTTTTCTTGACTGTCCAGTTAAAGGTGGGGTAGGTGATTTTGGAGAAACCGGCTCGAGTGCGCTGGAATTTGAAAATACACAACCGGAAAAAATCTGCCACTTCCTTATAGAGCCCCTCCTCCAACACACACGAGCGCGCACGTGACCAATGAGGGCACGAGATAAGTTTGTGCACAGATGGAAGGCTGACAGGCAGGTAGGCCATCCAGTTATTTTAGCCGGGCCGGCTAAAATGATTGGTCGTGCTTTTTACAGTACTACGGCTTCCACAGATGACATTTCTTTATGGATTTTTTGTCAAAGCACTTAAGATATTCATTGCTATCGGGATGTTAAGAGCATTCCATGGAATATAACAAAAAGTGTATCTCGAGCCGGTTTCTCAAACTGACCTACCCCACCTTTAATACTTAACAAGCTGCTTATCAAATGATTACATATAGAGTACATGAAACCGACCTTTAAAATTGTTATGATGTAAAAAGTGGGGAAATAATCTAAAATGTAATGTTCATTTAAAAATGTATTTAGCTTTCACAAAATAACAGCAAACCTGTAGATGCAGATTTCTCCTCATCTTGGAACGAACAGCTTTATTTCTAAGGAATCTGCAGATAAAAATGCAGCTTACACATTTACTATTAAAATGATTGCAAGCAATAGCGATTGTACAAATCTACAAAACACCAACAACAATGCTTAAGTCTGCATACTATAAAACTTCACTCAGAGAAAACAGTTTAACGGCCTGTTTGTTACTTCTGTTTGGATGCACAGCCCGGACTGAGAGTCTCAGCGGAGGATAAGTGCTTTTGAGTGCCCTCGACTTTTTTTGCTCAGTATTACATTCTTAATGAAGATCCACCTGCTTGGTTGCTATACGATTACTTTTCTTTTCTTTTTTTTAAATATGCATTCTCTTTACTTTTGCCTCTCAAAAGGATGATTATAGTTGTGTTATTGAATACTCAGGAAGAATATTGTTACCTCAGAATGATAAAATAAGATTGTATGTTATTACCTTAGGGTGTTTGTAGGGAGCTTTATGGAGCAAGATGAAAACGGAGCCATGGCTTTTATTAAGAGCAAAACAAACTCTGAACACTTCAGGGAAACAACACACTTACAAGGCCTTTGATACTAACAGTAGAACACACACACACACACACACACACACACACACACACACACACACACACACACACACACACACACACACACACACACACACACACACACACACACACACACACACACACACACACACACACACACACACACACACACACACACACACACACACACACACACACACACCACACACACACACACACACACACACACACACACACACACACACACACACACACACACACACACACACACACACACACACACCACCACACACACACACACACACACACAGCTTCTTAGCTCTGGGAAAATTAAACTTGAGGTTTTTGTACCAAGGCCTGAAATGTTGAATGTAATTCAGATATTTTTTTTAAAAGGACAATATTCGCCATAATGTACATCAATGATGTTTTTAGATATATGAAACATATTTTCTTCATGTATAGATGTAATTCTCTTATAGGTTTTGGTGGAGAAATGAATGACATGTAAAGTGTTAGTGTAGTTAGCTGTAGGGAATAGTTTTTCTGTGGACAAATTCAAAATTGAGCACTCCTAAAAAAACAACTTTGACATATCAAGACGTACAAATATTACAGTATATGCTCTATAATAGGTATGTTTATCAAATTCTTAATAGTGTCCAATCTCCAGTTTCTTAAATTAGTATTTTAAAACCGCTTGGCACACTTTCACCAGCTTGATTTGAGCTCTAACATTAATTGACATCATGAAGAAGGGAGAAGTTAGATATTTACAAAGTATGTGCACTGTCAGAAAATATGTACAGTTACAACTGTAAATCTTTATTTCCACCGAGTTGTAGCTTTGTAACTCCACAATCCCTTCATACCTTGTGCCATACCAATCTTTTTTGTGAAAAAGCATGTGCAGAGAGCGAATCCCCTTTTAAATAGAAAGATTTAGGCTGAAATGCAGATTCAGATTTAGTCTTACATTTTAAGTGTTGAAAAGGTATTTTATTTGGAAATATATTCATGAAATTTAACTGGCTGAAAAAATACCTGCAGCACACAAATATTACGTTTAAAAATATGATTTAGAAAAAGCTAATTAACAAAAAGGTGTTACACAAAACATCATGTATTCTTACCCCCAGATTTTAAAAGTATTTAAGCGCTTAGCTAAAACAAGTGAATGCTCTTCAACGCCTCACAAAGAATGTGCTCTACATGAACCTACACACTGCAACAAACGACAGTATATGCGTTTTTCTTTTGGTGTTACTCTGATTCATTGAAGTTATAAGTTGAATGTGTCCAACTGACAGAAAAAGGCGTTTCAGTGTTATATATCAGTTCAGTTATCTTGTTGTATCTTGTACATTCTCTGTAACCATTTCTACCTCATTTTGAAGACATTGTACATGGAAGTATTTATTTCATGTCATTTCACATGCCAGTTTAAGAGCAATGTTTCCAATTGTTTTGACCTGTAAAAAGTCTACCTCACTAAAGACTGTTGTGTCATGGAAATGAAGATATCACACCAAAAAAAACCTGACTTTGTCTTTTTGTCTGTGTAATTCCAAAAGTGTTTGAAATGGGTATGCTTTAATTTTACCTAAAATGTTCTTATATCTTGTCCTTATACATATACATTTGCTCTTTTAAACCAGGTACAAGCCTAAGATATGATAATTGATTGTTCATTCAAAATGCTTTACTTTATTGGCCCATATTTTTATTTCCTAGGACCTTTTCTCAAAAAGAAACATGTATTAATAGTAATACACTACATTGTGTTCAAATGGTACAACAAATTCCAATAATTAACCTTAGGCCTGTGAGTCACTAAATAGGAAATCAGTCAAACAGGCAAACGTGTGCAATTTGTGTACAGGCCACTCACCGTATAAAAGGAGTAAGGTTTCATATGATAAATAAAGAATTATAATATTTACTTGGAATTTCTTTCAAGGAAATTCCTCTGTGATTTAAAAGTGTCTCTGAGTATTGTCACTGTTTCCCTATAATCTGTATTATTACTTACCCGAATACTTTCTAGTAATTCTTAAAACTAAAATAGACCAGTGAAATCAAAAGTTACCAATATCTTTTTTCTCTTGTGAGTCATTTTGTTAAAACAATATTTTGAGTCCAAGTTGTAAGTTGTTGGGCCATTTGTGTTATGTACAGAGCCCATAATAAGCTCAAGAGAGCGTAGAATAAAAGGACAGGAAGAGTGGAGAAGACCCTGACCCTCTTCCCCTTGACACCACCCCCCTGTCCACAGCTTCATTGTCTGGAGGGCGGGGGGCATGCGCTGGCGTGTGACAGATGTCCAAACTTTTGTCCTTTCCATCCACAGTGAAATAACCCTGCTGCTTGCAACACCAAAGTATCTCACAGCAAAACCTCTTTGTCCCAAACTGTTTTACATAAAATGTATCTTCAACTATAGTGACCAACCGCCTAAAGCCCCTGCATCATAAAGAAACCTCAAACCACATTCCTGTGACTGGCTGCAGGAATTAAACCAGCTATGCTCATTAAAACCTTTCGCTTAGTGTCTGATCTCATTTATTAATCCCAGCTCAACCTCTCACTGCCCGACTCACTTCTCACTTAGCAATCAGCTCAGCAAACCATTAATAAGTACATAAAGTTTAGATTTAGTTCATACCATCAATTCAACCGATAATATGCAAACTGGGCCCCTTTCCTAAATTCAATGCCTCTGTCAGCCCTAACAATCATATCAATTTCTTCTCCAACTCACACAGACAATGGCTGCTGCAGCTTCTGCACTAGTGGCAGTTTAAAAGTATAACAGTGACATCTATAGGCTCTTATTAGAAGTACCTCATTGTATTGAAACATTGTCAAAGCAATAGTGATAATTGATAGACAACTACCAGAAACTGTTGCAAAGTCATTCACAACATTTAGAGAAAATGTAAACACATTTTAAATCATAAGTTAATACACATTAGGGAGGCCCTATTAGGCTTTTTTTTTGTTCTCCATGTCATGTTCCCCCTGCCTGAAAGGCCTCGATAGGAATCCTTTGTGTGACATCACTATGTCACACTCATGCTTCCGCTCCAACACATTGTAAGATGGGCTGGGGCGGGACATCTCTAAGCGGTTGACCAATCACAACAGAGCTGGACAGCTAACCAATCAGAGCAGACTGGGCTCTGGTTTCAGACAGAGGGTGAACAGAGGTGCTGCAGC